GTTTTGTTTTTGTTTTTTGGTTTGTTTTTTATTTTTTTCTAAAAAAAAAAAAAAAAACCTTAGTTATCGCCAGATGTGATGGTGCACACCTGTAATCCCAGCACTTGGGAGACTGAGGCAGGAGGATTGCCACGAGCTCAAGGCCAGCCAGCACTACACAGTGAGTTCAAGTCTAGCCCCAACTACGTAACAAGGCTGTTTCAAAACCCAAAACAAAAAGCTCTTAACTATCAATGAGTTCCATATGGAAGGCAGCAGCTTTTCTTAACAGAGCAATTTTTTAAAAACTCCTTCAGAGGTTGACCCCTTGGAAAACACTAACATTGTAAAAAACACTTGCAGTTTTCTATGGTTAAGAAAGTGGCAAAGCATTTTGTTTCTGGAATAATTTTTCTTTTTGCATAACTGTTACTTATAAAGACATACTATTTTCAAAGTTTTCTAATCGAAAGTAATAGCTGTGAATGAGGAAGCTCTTCTGCCTATCAGCTAACTTCTGAAACATTTTTAGGTCAATTGTAAGCTGCACCAGGGCAGTGATCTGACTCTACTTCAGCGGGTATGGGACCTTGCATGCAGAGTGTTTAATAAATGACAAATCTGATGAATGAAGTCCGGCTAGACAGGGAAGGCACAGCTTTCACTCTCAGCCGTGCTGACTGCTTTGGGAGAGCTAAGGGCCTCACCCCAAAAATGTACAAAGGTCAGGTGCAGCCAGTGCTGAGTGTTTTGCTGTGTAGTTAAATTCTCATGATGGATCCTGAGGCTGTCCAGCAAATTAATCTTAAACTCAAGTAAATCAAGTCCAGGCTAAGGAGTCAGTGACTCAGTGACTGATGTTTGGGGCCTCAGTGGTTTTTCTTTTATCTATTTGGTGAGATTTCTAATTTCTACAAGGACAGAGTATGGGTTTGACCATTTTTAGATAAGAAAACTGAGGTGCAAACATTAAGTTCATCGACTCCATGCCCGGTCTCGCAAGTAATAGATTAACTTGGCCTGTCGGGCCCAAACACTTTTTCCACTTAAATCTAGAGTTTTCAAACTCAGGACCAGTGGCAAGATTTACATGAGCTTATGGTAAAGATGGTGGAGTGAACAATGATCTTGTCTCAGAAAAACCTGTCCCATTCCTAAAACTATATCCTTTCTGCTGTTTCATTGTTTCATAAGAAAGATGTTCTTTCTTTTATGAAATTATGGTGAAATATGGTAACACTTAGTTTGCTTTATTTACAAAAAAACTGATACTTGGCCAAAAAAAAAGGGCATGCTTTAAAGCCTATATAAAAAAAAAAAGAAATGACAACCAGGGGCCAGGGATTTAGCTCAGTGGTTCCACTGTCTGCCCTGTAAGCACAAGGACCTGAGTTTGATCCCCAGTACCAAAAAAAGGACAACCAAAATACAAATACAATGAGACATGTAAATGAGAAATAATTTGAAAAAGAACAATGGCAAATAAAGTAACTTATTAAGGAATTTGGTTTTTGGCCAAAAAAAAAAAAAAATTGTCAGGCACACAATAAGAGATCTCCAAATTCCTAGGTATATATTTAATAAAAGGTTTACAGATTCTTGACTTTTTAAAACAGATACACTTGTAATGACAGCTGAGAGTTCAAAGTTGCTTCAGTTGTAATACTATTGAGTGTACGTTATTCAACAACACAAGATTGTTACTCTTGTCACAATACAGTTTCCAGGAATGAAATATCAGTTTCAAGTGCATGGCTATGACCACATCACTTATCTCTTAAATTAGAATCAGGTTAACATTACATACGGGGAAAAGCAATTTAGTTTTATTAAAGTTCAAAAATGTTTTTCCTTTATCTTAAATTCACCAAGACCAAAATTTACCGAGATAAGCTATACTTATCTAACATATCTAGACTCTAATTTCACCTTTGATCAGGAGCCTGGAAAACAAAATTTGAGGCTGTTCTGCCTCAGGCAAAATTTCTGGGAACCAGCTAATTGGTCTGTCTGGAACCCACAATTTAATCAAATTACTTGGCTGGGCCATTTCTGTCTAAAGTTAACACTAGAAACTAGCTTTTGTTATATGTAAAAACATCCAAATATACAATGCAGAGTTTAAAAAGAAAAAAGGTGTGTAAGCCACAGATGTTCCAAAGCAAAATACTTGTAATTCAATTTAAAAATAGACAATCCCAGGAAATATAGTCAAAGTCATAAACATTCATGAAAGAGGACATTAAATAAAGCTTACATAGTTTTCAAATTGATAATTTTAAACTACTGACCTGGAAAGAAAAGAATTTTGAAGACTTAATGAGTAGGACCTCTCAACCACTATTCATGGAATTGTAAAAATTTACACTACTGCTGAGTAGTTTGCACAACAGTTCTAGAGCAGTCGTGGCAAACCCGTGGCACACATGCCACAATGGGCTGCTTATGTCACTGAAAACTCTAAAAGGTCTGCCACCAATAGTCTAGAGCATTTTAAAAATTTTTAAATATTTGACTCAGTTACTCTACTTGTATCAATTCATCTTAAGCAGAAATAACCAGAATTACAGAACCAGAGTCAGAATCGCAGCCCAGGATCACAAACGTTCATACACAGATACAAACTGTGTACAGATATTCTCCTTTAACAACCTCCTGTGTAATAACTCTTAGGTACAGCAACAAAAGCAGCCTTGTAGCCATTTGGTGGCTTCTTCTAAAGTGCAGTACTGCAATTTTTGCTGATTACAGTGTATAGTACAATATTGTAATTTTACATTGTTATACACTGCAGCACTGCACGAAAGAGTATGCAAATAAAAGCAAAGTCATCAAGTTAGAGTTTCCTTTGTTCTGAATATTGTTACGTACATATTACATACAACTCCTCACTGGTTGACCAATTAATTTAACGACTTAGTTGCAGGAATGGAACTCAGTCATTGAGCAAGGAATCTCTGTACAGACTCAGAGATGTGCATATATATATATACAAATATACACACAAACATACTTACTGTATACAGTGGTTATTACAAATGAAAACACTGTTTATGCCTAGTAATAGAAGAATGGTTAAATTAAATCTCATACACATACCCAATACACAAAACTTTAAATGTTAACGAGCAGGAAAAAATGGTAAATAACTCTAATTGTCTCACACAATTGAGGTAACTAAAAAGTTAATGTGAAAAATTAAATTTGATCATAGAGATGAGGTTCTAATTCTGTGTATATCTACACGCATCTGTGTGCAACCAAGTGTACAGGCGTATCATACTTACCTGGATAGGTCTTGATAAAATTCATTTTATTAAAATCTTCAGACACGTGAAATTCCTAAAAGTAAACATATGCAATAATATAAGTTATGTTTTTAAACAAGAGAAACAACTTTCAAAATGAAGTGAAGTCCAAACATGGCTGTCATAAGATCTGAAACCCAAGATGAGCTATTTAGGGATATGAATTGCTCCTTTCATCAAATCCATTTGTGGCCATTCTTTGAGGGGCAGATGGAGTCAAACAGAGAAAGTACCATTGATGAGCACAATATTTTTATCCAGTTCTTCCTCCACAAGTGAACACTACATATTTGTACATTCTCCCTCTAAAGTACAGATTTTTGCTAAGTTTGCTCTTTTGGCGCATGCACGCGTGCACACGTGTGCGCACACACACACACACACACACACACACAAATCCAAAATGATGCATAAGGAACAGAACTGCAAAGGCCCATTACCAACAGGGCTCAAAGCTACAGGAGATCATGGAGGTTTGGTGGGGCAAATTCATACATATTCAATGTATGAGACACTTCCAAAACTTTAAATTTAGACTGGGTGGTTCTCCTTCTATACTCTGTTTGTTTATTTGCTTACAAATTTTCTTTAGACAATGTAGTTTATAACTTGGAAAAAATTAAAAGTACACAGTTTTTTAATGAAAAACTAAGCCTCAGCATAAAATTGAGAAAAAATAAAACTCAAGAAAAGGCACTAATTGAAATTGTATTGGTACTAAATTGCTAAATTCCTTTGATCCTCCTGCCTCAGCCTCTCCCAAGAGCTATGAGTGCTGGGGTTAAAGGCGTGTTCCACCACGCCCGGCTATAAATTGTTAAATTCTTAAATCTCCTGATAAGATGGACATTATGAATTGCTGGCTGACCAGAGGAAAAAAAGCATACAAGAAATACAGACTTCTTGATCTCCATCTTGCTTTACCAAAAGTGAAAACTACATATGTATATGCTAATCATAATTGGATGCCAGATCACTGGATCAATTGTTAACTGCTGCTAACTTGGATTTGCACTGTCCCTTTCCACTGAACAGCCCAAACAGCTTATGTGCCAACATGCAAATGTGAAGTCTATGTTTTAAGCAGAAGCCATAAAGAGAGCTCCTAGAGAGAGAAATGCAGGACCACAGCCACCCCTGGAGAAACTACTTGGGGTTTACATTCAAAGGCTTTTTGTTTTATACATTTGTGCACTTTATCATGATCTCCCAAAAAATTATCATGGGAGAAGAGGAGCTGTGGTATTCACAATCACATAGTGTATTCATAGCAGTCCTTAATGCTGTGCTCCTGCTGTGTAAAGACCAGGAAAAGGAGGCTTTACCAGAACACTTGCAGTGGGTGCTGGTCTCCTGTGAGCCACGACAGCACAAGGTGAATTAAAGTATAAGACAGGAAATGATGCTTAGAGAAGAAGCTGGGTTGTGGGCCTGATCAATGCTGCTCTGGGGAGCAAAGATGAAGGCACCCTGAGCTCGCCACTATTTATTTGGTTCATAGGAATAACAGAAGACACAGAGGATTGGTGGTAATCCTAGGTCGTGAAACTGTTATAATCAGAGGAAGTATCAGATGTCTGGGAGGGTGGCAGTAATCCTACACTGACAAGGATCTTATGTTGATGAGGACCTCAGGTCAATGAGAGATGATGCTTATTAGGATGGTAAATTGAGCAAAGACTTTCTTATAACAGTAGGTGTGGGATGAGTTAAACTATAAGGAATTTGTCCCTCCCCAAGTGAAACCTTTCTCCTACTACTCAGTTCTCAAATCAGGATGTCTTCAACTGATGTAATCTTGCCCTCAAGTGTCACAGCACCATGGGACCACTGAGGTCTCAGTTGTGACCAAAGACAAAAATGGAGTTAGGCTTCAGCATGTGATAGCCGGCCTGTAGGCAAGACCAGGCCTAATCCTAATTTATGTATGAAATGATTTTCCAAACAAAATTATACAGAATGGCTCCCGAAATTGACACATGAACTGCCTGGGCAGAAGCCTGTCCTTCCTCCTGGCCCTTAAACAAAAGCAAAGCTCCTTCAGTTTTTAAAAAGAAAAACAAAAATAACAGTAACACTCTTAACTATACAACTTTCCCTGTCCCCTTCTCAGCCAAAAAATCCCTAAAGATCAGCCCATGCTGGCTACCGTCTGACTGTTCCCTGCTGGTCACCCTTCACCCCACTGTACTCGGGAGCTCTGCCATCTCCACACAGAAAAGGCTCTCCCTGCTACCTGCCTGATCTTGGCCTCGCCTTGCACCTTGTTTGTAGTCCCCTTCCCCAAAACTCCCTCCTCAGGATTCCAGGGCTGCACTGTCTGGCTGACCTTCCTGCTATTCTGCCTCTTCTGCCTCCGACTCTCCTGTGGGCTTTCAGTCCTGACTCTCCCTTAATAACATCCATGTTCCTTGGCGAATATGCTGGCTCTCCACTCTCTCAATCCACCAGTGTAGTGCCCACCCCATTCTCCACAAGCACAGAAGAGCCAACGCCATCCCAGGGCAAACCCTTGAGGTTCCAGCTCGTTCACCCAACTGTCAAAACTGAACTCCTCTCTTCTGTCTCGTAGGAAAGGACGAATGTCATCTTAACACTGCTGATGATCCATACCCACATCCAGTCAAACATCAGGCCCACTTACTTGGCAGTTCTTGAAGCTGTCACCTCTGCTCTGCCACCAGACCAGTGCTTCTCAATCTCAGGGTGGCATCCTGAAACAGCCTCCTACGTGGACCCCTACTTTCAGCCTTGCCCTTCAAAACCATCTTCAACATGCTGGTACCCCAAGCTAACAGAAGCCAGAAATCCAACGGTTCATCACCCCCTTTCATAATGCTCTTCGGTGGCTCCTCATGCTGCAGTTTTCTGAATGCACTCAGTCCTCAGGTTGGTCTAGAGGCCTTGCTAAAACAACAGTCCCCAGGGCCACTGTGTTCCCTCCTTTATGGTGGCCCGCCCTGGCTCTGTAGGGGGTATTCTCTTCTTACTTTTACTTGGCCCAAACTGCAGAGCCTATTTCTTTTCCTACCTTTAATATAACTGCACTAAGGTTAAAAAATAAAATAAAATGCCCAGGCTCCTCCCCAGTGATGGTGAAGCTGTGGGTCTGACGAGGAGTTGGAGTATGTATCTCACTAAGTTCCCTAGATAATCTGTATAACTACACAAGTTTGGGAAACAGCTTATAAGAAGTAGTCTGACTTCCTTAATACTACACTCAAGGATCATCATCTTCTCCTCTGCCCTGGCTGCTGCCCCTAAATGCTGGCTGGAGAAATTCAGGACTTGGGTCTGGCCCTGTCTTCCCTAATTTCCTCCCCAGGTGATCACAGGTGTCCTCACCACTGGAAGTGACTTTCATGCTGAGGACTCCAAGGCAGACCATCCCTCAGACTCCAGGTTTGCCTCACTGAGTGCCTTGCTGGTACCTTAAACACTGGGCCAATTCCTCATTGCCCCCCTTCCTCCAACAGAGACACCACCATCTATCCAGTTACTCAAGCCACAGACATGGAGTCACCTGACCTCTTTCTCCTCCTGCCCGCACACCCAAGCAATCACACATGTATTCAGGATGTAACTCAAATCCATCCACTCTGTCACCCTCACTGCCACCAGGCCCTCCCCTAGGTTACTACAACAGCCTGACTCCATTCTTGCTGCCTGTGAGTCATTCTCCAAAAGCAGTTACACAGATCTTTTAAAATTAAATGTAAATTATATAATGTCATTCATCTGTCAAAAACCCTGTAACAGCTTCTCACTGAACTTACAATAAAATTTCAAACTTGATCCAGACCTACAGGGCCCTTCATGACCTGGCTTCTGGCCCCACAGTCCCTCCTTGTCACTCAGTATTGCCTAGGCATAATGACCTCCCCCACATCCTTGAACACACACACACAGATCCATCTCAAGCCTTCACAAAGCATTCACTTCTGCAAACTTCCCTGACTTTCCAGCTCACTGACTCTGTGACAAGGGTGTCAAGACTATCAAGAAGAACAATCTTTAACAAAGTGTTGCTGGGATAACTATATAGCCATATGCAAACAAATGCATATGGAACTCTCCCTCACACTGTACATAAAAATTAACTCACAATGGAGCAAAGACCTAAATGTGAACACTAAACTATAAACTTCTTAGAAGAAAATATAGGTATAAAATGTCATTCACGCCTATGAAAACTGATACAGGTACATCAGGCAACAGTTTCTTAGGTCTTATATCTAAAGAACAAAGAGCCCCACAAAAAGGACTTTATTAAACTAAAAAATGTTGAAAATACAACACTGTTGGATGGGAGAGGATACTTGCAAATCGTGTATCTGATCTTGTATATAGCATATGCAAAAAAAATCTTACGACTCAAAATCTTAAAGATCTATTAAAAATAGGTAAAGGACCTAAACAGATATTTCTCCAAGGAAGACACACAAATGATGAACAGGCTTATTAAAAAGATGTTTAGCATTATCAGTCATTAGAAAAATATGTCAAAACCACAATGAGGTACCATTTCATAACCACCATAATAAAAACAAAGCAAACTCAGAGAGCAAGTGTTGGCAATGATAAGGAAAAACTGAAATCCTCACACTTTGCTGGTGGGCATGTGAAATGATGCTAACACTTTTGAGGACAGTTTAGTGGTTCTTTAAATGTTAAATGCACCCAATTCCACTCCTACATATACCCAAATGAAATGTAAACATATATTCACATTATACACGAAACTTACATAAGATGCTCACTGCCATGTTACTCCTAATAACCAGAAAGTGAAATAATCCAAATTTCTATCAACTACTGAATGGCTAAACAAAGTGTGGCTTATCTCTAAAACAGAACTACTGGGGGGGGCGGGGATTCAGCTCAGTGGATTTAGCTTGCAGGCACAAGGTCCTGAGTTACTGGTACCAATAAATAATAAATAAACAAACAAATAAAATAAAACATAACAGAACTACTATTCCACCACAAAGAAGAACACAGGAACTAATTCAAATTACAGTATGGAAGAACCTTGCTAAGTGAAAGATGGCAGACACAAAGGCAAAAATGTCTGACACAGATCCCCATATTCAGAAAGTGCAATGGTGAGCGTTAGTGAGGGAGAGGAGAGGGAGAGTGACTGCTAATGGCTTTAGGGTTTCTCTGGGGGACAGAAAGATGTTTGTAGTTAGAAAGTGGTAATAATTACATAGTTTTTAGTATATACCACAAAAGCATTGACTTGCACACTTTAAAATGGTGAATATTATAGAATATTAATTATTTTAGGAAAAAGAAATATATGCATATAATCAGACCCATAAAAAAAGTTTAAATTAAATTTAAAATTTCAGCATCCAGCCAAAGATAATGTGAGAAGCAAGCAGTGCCTTACACTGTCTGAGCTGTGTCCCGCACCTCCTCTCCTTCAGAAAGACAGTGACAGAGAATGAGAGGCAGAGGCTGAGAAGGCTGTGCTTTGTGGACAGCCAGAGCAATAGGACAGCCATTGGACAGCATGCTGAGCATCACGAGATCACCTACAAATTAAGCATTAATTAAAAATGACACGTTCAGGCTTAGCGTGTTTTGAGACAGGGTCTCACTTTGTAGCTCAGGCTAGCTTTGGGCTCACTATGTAATCCAGGCTGGCATCAAACTTGCAGGATCTTCCTGCTTCAGCTTCCTGAGTGTTAATTTTAAACTGTCTAAAATGAGCGAACAAGGAGAGGTCAAGGAATACATTCTCTAAGGAATACATACTCTAAGGAATCCATTCTGTAAGCTACCTACCATCATGGCTCCATTATCCTGGCCCACAAATATCCGTCTGCTGTCATGATGGTAAGCCATGGTAGAGCACGGAGCTGTTGGAAAGACAGAAACCACATTACCAGCACAGCTCAGAATTTTAAGTTGTTCAAAGTGTGTTATTGTTACAATGAGCTATAGGATAAATGATTTTAAAAAGAGGAGAAATTTGCTTTATGAAAAACATTATATAAACTGAAAATATATTTAAAGTTGTCTCTGAAGTTTAAAACCTTAATCCTATAAATCTGCCCAATTAGTTTTGGGGGTTTTTTTTGGGGGGGGGTACCAGGAATCAAACTCAGGACCTTGTGCTTACCAGGCAGGTGTGGTGCCACTAAGCTAAATCCCAACGCCCGATTATTTACATTATGCTGGGTAAAGTGAACCAGCTGATGTCTCATCTCCAAGGGTTTAGGAGGTCATTCTGAGCCTGCCACCGATCCCTAACAAAGTCAATGAGTAGCAAAGAAGAAGGGCTCCCAGCCCCAGAATTCCCACTCCACAGCACTGTTGAGCAAGCTAGAAAAGCCACCATAGGATTGTTTTCCCCCCAGTGCTTTAAAAAAAAAAAGTTCCCCTTTGCAATGACACACAGCCCAGTCTGCAGTGACTGGAGTTATGAGGACAGGTTACTCTGCACACCTGGGAAAGCTCCTACAGCTTCTCTTCCACATACCCCTTTCTCAGCCTACCCATCCCTCTTCCAGAAATCAAGGGCCACAGAATGAATTTCAAAAAGGAGAAACTCCAAACTGTCTCCCGCTTAAAAAAAAAAAAAAAAAGCAATAAATGAAATACTTGTGCAAAGAAACATTTGGATTCATTCTGGCCTAAAAAATTTTAACCAATAGAAAAACCACAATAAGAAAAATGCATTCTAGGAACAAAAAACACAGTGAACTTGACTTTTTTAGCTGTCAAATAAATTTTATAAAAAAATAAAAGAAGATGGGTATGGTGACACACACCTGTAATGCCCCTAAACTTAGGAAACTAAGATAGGAGAATCACAAGTTTGAGGCCAGCCTGGGCTGCACAGCCAATAAACAAACAAATAATGTAAAAGAAAAATATCTTCCTATTGAGGTCACCATTTGAAAACAGTTTAAAGTTCTCTTGCTATAGTGAGCTGATATTCTTCACCAAAGGAAGAAAGTACTGTAAATTATAATACTGGATTGTACCCAAAGAAAAAGACACAGGTAACAGAGTGATCAGACCAGAGAGGCTATTTTCAATTGTACTCAAGAACTATATAGTTCAGACAGGTACTGAAATTGTGTACAATTAGGACTGACTTAAGCCTGCACACCATAATCTACTACATTGATGTTTACAATTATAAACAGTCGTGTCTAAGAATTAGAATCACAGACACATATGAATCTTTATACAATCAAAATTATCTTCCATTATCATGCATACATGAATAAATGACGCTTAGATGATTTCAAAGACTCGTTATCAGCTTTACACGCTGCTCATCAGCTGGTATGGGGGATGGAACTCGGGCCCGTGTGCTTGCAAGACAGGTAGCAGAAACACTGAGCCAAATCCCCAGCCCTAGTACTAACTCTTGTTGCATTAGTTTTAAAATTTTCAATTCTTTGATCACTAACCACATGTAAATATGATTTAAAAAGCCTATGTAAATATGTAAATATGGTAAAAACTATGCAAATATACAAAATCCCTCTTTGGTGTAAAAATTTCAATGTGGTAAGTAATTCAATGATATAGAATTTGTGCATTTAAAAAAATTAAGAAGGGGCCAGGGATCTAGCTCAGTGGTTCCACCACCGCCTGCCTCACCATTTGCATGGCAAGCACAAGGTCCAGAGTTCGTCACCCCACCACCACCAAAAAACAAAACAAAACAAAACAAAACCAAAAAAAATAAATAAATAAAAAAGCCTCCCTCTTTTGTTTCTTATACAGTGATGTTTTGGCTTTTTTTCCTGGATGGGAGGTTTCTACTGAGATAAGCAATTTAAATTTCAAAAAGGGAAAGGGCTGGATAGTCAGTCTTATAAACAAGAAAGACACTGATCATCCTTCAAATCAGTGCACTTTTAAGAAGACATTACTACAATCTAAAATCATATGCTTAAAACTCTGGTCAGAGGGCCAAATCCAACCCACTGCATGATTTGTTAATAAAGACTTTGGTTTTCCTGGAACACAGCCAGGCCCTTCATTTATGTACTTTTTATGATTGCTTTCATGCCACAGTTGCAAAATGAATAGTCCTTACAGACTCTTTGGCCCACAGAATCTAAATATTTACTGTCTGGCTCTTTGAACCAAAAAAATGTGTACCTACTGTGGTGGACAGCATAGTTTGGGAGTTACAAACAGGCAATGGATTACAATTACACGGGACTTACAAGTAATCAACTGAATCCTTCTAGCCTCAATTTCCTTATCCACAAAAATGATAAAAGAATCAGCTACCCTCAATAGCTGTGATGATTTTATAAAATTATATTATCAAAGAAAGGCCTGAGGCACATAGTAAAACAGAAACCAAGAGTTACTTTTCTTCAGCCACAGCAGATTCTAAAGTGATTTTTGTTAAGTGAGGTAGTTATGTAACAACTAGACACCCTAAAGCAATACACAATACAAAGCTTTGCCTCGGTGACCAGTCAGGACACAAGAAGTTTAAATTGGTGCATGTGTGTGAAGACATCTTTGATTGGGTAATCTACAGAGAGATTTTAGAGCCAGCGTGGCACTTTTCTTATATTTTGAATTTAAATAAAAGTCATTCTAAAATAGAACACTCATTCATGATGTTTTCTTCTGGCCATGCTCTTGCAGTTTTATCAGTAGATACAGGTCCAAGTGGAGTCAATCAAGAAGCATCTGGAAGCAATGAGCAGGACAGGGGTAGCTGCACACAGGTGTGGGCACACACTGGAGGCACTGTCCCTTCCATCGCTCCTCCGGCTGGGAACTGCCTCTCGCTGAAAGGACAGGGACAGCCCACCATGTGCTCAAGATCTAACAGCCTAAAGAGCACACACTTCTGCTGGGGTTTTGGTACCCTGGGAGAAAAACTACCAGAAAGTTAAGTATTTGGGAAAAATACAAGCCAAAGAAATACAGGACACAATTCATCTTTGTCTCTATTCTCATGAGCATGAACTCAAGGCTAAGGACTCAGAGATTAAGCTAAAACCAAAATAAGAACTATGGAGGAAGCATGGGGGTGTGAAGAGTAACAGAACTAGTGCCACAGATTTCCCAAAGATGACAGAACATTCCCCAAGCTGGAATGAGTTCCTCAGGCTGCTGCTACTTCCACTTATCAGATCTATAGCTGGCTACTGGGAAGTAAGGAGTAATCAGCCCAACAGAAGCCTACTTTGTTCTTGTTGCAGTGGGGGAAAGGGTGTGTTTAGAAGCTCAGGCATCCTGTCCACCTCTGCCATTTGTATTATCAACTAGGTTTCTTAAGCGCTTTTACTAAGATATGGGTTACCTCTTATTTCAAGGTGAGAATTACTTCCTGTTTCAGGGGGAGAAACCAGGTCTATGCATCCATAATGTAACAACCAGTGGAAAAAACCATTACAGAGGACCATGACCCAACCCCTTGGTTGAAGATTGTGGCCATACTCTCTCCACCCCCAAATTTCCTCAAGGCTACAACTCCTCCCCTCCCCTTTAAAATCTTTGTCGTCTGCTCACTAGCTGCTGAATTCCTTCCTGGACTCAGCCTGCCCACCGGGTACCTGCACCTGAGTGTTAAATAAACAACCATATTTTGTTCACACAAAGCTTACCCTGGGTGCTTTCCCTCCACTATGCATCTCTAACACTCATGATACTGGAAGACATGGATAACAAGGAGGTATGAATGCTTAACACAGTAAATGAGGATCAGGTTTACAAGCAGTTTTTTACTGTGCTGTGTATTCTAAAATTTTTCCATCCATTTGACAATACTTGTCCTTATAATATTCTAAAAAGTCTATTTTATTTTCACTGAATAACTGTAAAGACAGAGAAGTTAGCCAGCCAAACTACTGGTAGAAGGTAGAACAAATGAAAATTTTGATATACTACAAACTTCTTGTGGAAATTGTTACAGGTTGCAAATAATGCATGCACAATGGAATACACACATCAATAAGAAAATGCTAACCAAGACAGGAGGTGCTTGCGACAATGACTCTAACTACAGATCACATGAAGAAAAATTGGCTTTCGCAGTCTCTAACAAACTCCACAGCTTTGGAATACCTCTTAGGAAGGCTGTGGACAGTGTGACAATATCCAGGACACCTGTCAAAAGCTGTTCAGCCGGGGATTTAGCTCAGCGGTTTGGTGGCCTGCCTTGCAAGCACAAGGACTCGAGTTCAATCCCCGGTACCAAAAGTTTAAAGAAAAAGAAAGGCTCTTTGGGGGGAATGTCACCCTGACACTCAGTAACAACCCATCAAGTACACACCAAGTCCCTTTTCTTCCCCTAAAGGCTGTCAGAATACAAAAACCCTTAACTGAGGGAAATACCTCATTAAGCACCAAAGCCTAAAGGAAATCTGCAGCAAAAGATGCCTTCCTGTGGCTATTTGGGGTGGCAGGAGTCACCCTCATTTGGCCCTGGGTAACATCCAGGCATTCTCTGTAGGGCTTTGTTCTCAAAAAGGCTTTAGAAAAGTAGAACAGCAGCCCTCAGTGTCTCTTAGATTTGCCTGAAGAGCTAGAATTTACATGTAATTTTATGTCATGATATCTGAGGGCTATTTTAAAGTCTCCATGCTTTAGCTTGGAGGTTTATGTTTATAATATATCAGGCTGCTGAGAAACTCCTGTTTAGAAAGTATTATGCCCTGGGCTACATCTCTCTGTGGTACCCACAGGTGAGTGAAAAGGTCCAACAAAAGGCTGGTTATCATTACAGGCATACACAGAATGTTGTTTTAGTGCAAGTATCAGTTACTATGACTACAGAGTTACATCAGTATTAGGCTCGTCAAATTAAGGCAAAGGAAAATGGGTGCCCTTTTCCTCTCTTTTTCTTTTTGGAGGAGGAGGGGTTTGGCTTGGCCTGATTTATTCATTTTTTTCTTCAGTTGTGTTCAAGTCTGCTTCCTTTAAGTTGGTAGAACCAACTTCCTTTACAAAAGGAGTGTTCCTGTGGCTTATTACAGCCTCGTAGAGGTGTTAGGCAACTAAGAAACTCATTTGGAAATCCAGGTGCAATTTCCAGTCAGACATTTTGCAAATTCTACCCTCACAGGCATCAGAATCACTGCCCCCCCACCCAGCTGCACGACTTACAGGCCATGGTGTGGTAAATGCTGGGCCAATATTGGCCACTGTCTCTCTTCAGCCATACTCGCAGGGTCCTGTGGAGAAACGAAGAGAGTGTTGAGCAGTCATTTTCACTTCTTTTTTTAGGAAAACCTAATTTTTAATTTGACGAAAAAATTCCAACACCATTTCCTAACTGATCTTATAATCAACTGGACAAAGTATAAAAATATATGTACACATGCATATATACATATATATAATATAAAACATACAGTTTATGTACTACACACATTTTATACAGTTACATAGAGCGTAGCCATATGTATGTTATATAGTACCCATCAGTCACAATTCAAACAATTTTAACGATACGGGAATGTTTTGTATACAAGCATACAAAAAGAAAACTGGGCACAACTGACTGCTTTTCTTGGTTAAGACAAACTTTGTAAATTGGCTGCCTTGGAAGGCAGTAGATCTAAGAGGAAAGAATGATGGAGAGGTGAGGGTCAGCACAGCAAGGCTCATTCTCTGACTGTCCTCATTCTCCATGCCAGGGAGGCAAGCATCCCACATCATGCCTCTGAGTCCCTCTTTCAGGAAATCCTGTGCAAGTACAGGAAAATGACAAAGCTTAACACTTGGGCTCCCTGTAAAAGCAGAGAACAACATGGGACACTGCAGGGCAGCCCTGTGCTCACAGAACCCTAGCCCCGTCCGGGTCCCTGGGTCCCACTGTGCTCGCCCATCTGGCTCTGCAATGGCCCCACTTCTCTCTGTCCAGGCAGGCTTCCACTTCGACAGCAACACAGATCCTGGCTCACAGCAGGAGCTGAGCACATGTCTGACCTCAAACTGAAATATGTCAAGACCGACACATAGGTTTCTTTTTGTTTGTTTGTTTGTTTTTTGGGGAGTTCAACCTAAGTAAAAGTGGTCCTATGGATAAAAATCTCAGAAAGAATAGTAGTGGTCTGGGAGAGGATGACAAGAAGTCAGGAGGAGAACAAAGCTATAGCTAGCTAGCTAAAGTACAGCTCGGGCACTTACTTGCTAGACCTCATCCTAGTTTACTTCAGAACCGTGCATACTACTGTAACCACAACGTGGCCCTCGTTCATCCAAATAAGTATGAGGACTGAGGGCAAAGCTGTCTGTCTGTGAACTGTGTAAAACCATTAAGGGTAATGCAGCCTGATCCAGACTCCAATCCAACCACCAATTGGTAGTATAAAGAGAGGACAGAAAGAGGTCAGGAAGAGAACAAGTACAGGAGCAAGACTGCAAGGAAGTCTATATAGGTAAGTTACTCAGTTTCTTCTTTCTACAGATAATTTGAAAGAAGGGAAAAAAAATAGAGATGGAGAACAAGACTATGATTCATGAGGTTTAAGAGATTTATCAAACAGTTAAAACATGTAGGATTAAAACTTATTAGGATCCTGAGTCAAACTTTAAAATATATGCAGATGACACAATCAGGAATATGAATACTAACTCTAATATTAATATTAAAATTATTGCTCGTTTCTTTAGGCAGGATAATGGTGACACTTTTTTTGTTTTGTTCTGTTTTTTGAGACAGAGTCTCAACTATGCAGTTGTAGTTGAGACTCACCTGGAACTCACTATGTAGCCCAGGCTTGTCTTGAACTCAGTAATCCTCCTGCCTCAGACTCCTGAGTGCTGGGATTACAGGTGTGCGCCGCCATGCCTGGCTGGTGACACTGTTTTTAAGAAACAATAACCTGGGTGTGGTTGTGCACGCCTGTGATTCCAACACTCAGGATGCTGAGGCAGGGGAAACACAGCAAGTATGAGGGCAGCTTGGGCTACACAGTGAGTTCAAGGCCAAGACCCTATCTCAAAACAAACCAAAGTCTTGAATTTCACCTTGGCGCTCACTAGTCATTCTCAGCCTGACACCACAGCCAGCCCTCGGGACTCCCACTGCAGTGGCCTCCTCTCCTGTTATCTACTGACCCCTTCCTGCTCCGCCCGCCTCCAATACACCGCATCCCACCACTGCTGGGCTCAACACACAACCATGGACATCTCAAATCTGGGCTCAACTGGCAAATTTAGTTCCTACAACTTCCGGACTGACACCCCCATCCTGCTGAGGTGCTGCTCTTAGGAAAGTTCCTCCAAAACACCCACACAGGTTATGCCCGAAGCCCGTCTTGCCTTAATATCCAGACAGGGGATCTTCTAGGCAGATGGCCTGATGGGTGCCATTTCAATGCAATTCCTTCACCTAAAGAATCAATGGGAGCTGACAATAATGATCTTAGAATTGAGCTATCTTATTATCTTGACTACAGTCTGCTATTTAGATCAGAATGCTTATGGACACATTTCAGCACAGGAGATGAAGCCAACAGAGGAATAGTAAGTGAAAAGCCAACTCCTACGTGACCAAGGATTACTCAACACATAGTAGCAAAAGCAAAGGTCCCTGATGGCCAAGTCTTTATGTGGCACCACTTTAACCTCATTGGCTTCATTTGTACCAAGTCCATACAGAGTATGCCTGAGAGCTGCCCAGCCAGCAGGTGTTTTGAAGAACAGAATGATGACAAATGCTAAAACTATTCTATCCTAAAGGGCTTTGGTCATGAATGTGTAGGGAGCTCAAGGGATTCAGTGGCACACCGTCTCCCCCTCTCCCCTGGGTGCGGACAATATTCAGGCACCAGAGAACTCTGCTGTAAGGAGGAAATCTTGAAGGTCATCTCTTCCAATCAATCACTGACCCTCAAAAATTTCAGACTGCATACACCTAGGAGATGATGTTTAAACGAGCCTGAGGTAAAACAGAACCTAGATTTCTGCTTTTTAGAACAGTATCATTTCCTCTAGGGGGCAAACATCAGCATATAATTGGGTCTCCACAACTTAGACCCAGGCTAGGAGCCAAGCAGAAAATTAAAAAGTCAGCAAGACTGACATGACCTTTTGAGTGTTTTGCTTGAAAGCCAATTACCACATTCAGACTGAGACAGCATCCAGGTCGATTCCCACAGCCAAGCTATACCTCTGCGTTCATACCTTCTCCCTGGAAGTCTCTTCTACCCGTCTCCACTTATACCTTTGTCCTTCCAAAATAAGTCAAACCAATGTAAAGTTTATCCCCTGATACTTTAGCACTCCCACAAAGTCTGTGTGAAACAGAGTTCCTTAACTTCTACAACTTACATAGGAACTTTTTTTATGTTATGGTCAGAATTTTCTTAAATTCTGTTTACCAAATAGTTGTTAAAATAGGCTTCTTATTAAAGAAATCAAGAAATGCCATAAACTGGGCATGGTGGCACACGCCTGTAATTCCAGCACTTGGGAGGCCGAGGCAGGAGGATCACTGTGAGTTCAAGACCAGCCTGGGCTACATAGTGAGTTCCAGGTCAATCTCAACTATATAGTGAGACCCTAAAAAATATACTACCTAGTAAAGTGGAAGCAAAATCACTACTTAATAATGTGAAAGCAACACAATAACACAACTTAGTAACATTTTACTAAATGCAAACCACTAAAAACTCTACAATGATATAAAAACCATCTAATCACTAAAGTGTCAAGATCAGATGGTTTAATTTTTCTATAACTCACAATATTTTCTGCCAAATGTCTAAGCTGCTCTCTCTGCTAAGATAAAACACTTGAATTTTTCCTTTAATATTTTGACAAGTTTACTCCCACACACCTAAACTCATTTTTTATGTTTTTCCTGTCACTAATTTATTCATTTTTGTAGCAGCTGGATCTTCACTATTCCAAGGCCATGTCAGTCTGAAATCTTTTCTTAAAACACAACTTTAGAAATGTGTTCATTCTTTTTCAAGTTATTTTAAAAACAACAGTGTGCTATTTTTTCAAAAGGTACTTGGAAAGGAAACATGCAGTTGTCGTTTCTTTCTGCGCCTACATAAACGGCTTCCAAGTTTCTCTGCAATCCTGGAGGAAGGCACCACCATCTGTCCCCCAGCTTGCTAGGAAGAAAAACAAGGGCCTCTCAGGGCCATGACATCTTCTAGTTCCTTGGAAGACCATAAAGCATACACACATATGTGTCCACTACTACTCACCGGATTTGTGAATGATTGATAAGATTCAGCATTATGGATATTTCACCTATCTTCTAGACAGATGAAATGCCAAAGCTGAATCAGATTTCTTTATTTGAAATCATTCTGGAATATTTATTTATGTAACAGTACTGGGGATGGCCCAGGGCCTTCACGCTGGGATACATCCTCTCCTCAGTCCCTTTTCATTTTCATTTTTTAAATTTTAAGACAGGGTCCTGCTGAGTCCCTGAGTTGCCGGGGCTGTGTCTGAACTTGTGATCTTCCTGCCTCAGCCTCCCAAAGTGCTGGGATATAGGTGTGTGCCTCCGTCACCACGGCCCAACCCGCTGCTAAAGATAAGCAGAGGAACAATTTAAAACATGGCTCTGATTTAGAATGCTGACAAAGGAAAAAAACTAACTCTTTAGGAAGACTTCTGCTCGATGCAGTGAGGAACATAAGCTTGCCTGATGATGATGACGATGACAATGATGCCACAGGAATGACAAGCCCGGAAGAATTCCAGCCTTGGCAACTGTTTCGTTTAAGAACAGAGAACTATGTATTTCAAAATTAGTCATGTGCATATGTCAAGGAGCTGGGAAAGAAGGTTAAATAATGAAATGGGCTAATGATATAATAATTAAATAGCTTATGAAGTCATTGAAACTGCTATGAAGATCTAACGATGTGTGTGAAGGGCTACAAAATGTTCGTTTTTCAGAAAGAGCACAGTACACAACTGCATAACTAGACTGTGTCGCCAGGCCAGCTCTGGCCGCACAGGCGGGGTCTGGCTGTAAGGCAGGAGGTGAAAGAAGGGCACACAGGCAAGGTACACAGTGACTTTGGCTCCTTGTGTTTTACCCATCTATTTAATGGTGTTGGATTTGGAGGGTGGGGCAGTGGTAAGAATCATACCCAGGGCTTTGCAGATTGTCTGATACCATTTAGTTGTTCTGTCCAATTCTATTCCTCTTATGAGAGGATGGGAAAATTCACTACCAAGGTAAATAATGC